CGAATATTATTGGATCCTTCGTTCCCTCCAAGAAAATACGTGCAGCGCGTGAAAGATTTCGCGCACGAAATCTCGAGAACCGATGAATTTCATTTTTCTTCCGCGCCTCTGTGGACGATGACAGCGTGATATCTATGCAAATTTATGTTATAACGCAGATACGATGGCTGTGTTGCCGAATATTTTTGTGAACGCATCGGATAGAAACGTCTTCTGATTTTTTTTTTTTTTTTTTAGAGATTGTCGTTATTCGTTCATTTCATTTTCTGAATGATTTTTGAAATTCGATCTAAAATTGTTTCTGTTTATTGCTTGCTCACAATTTATAAATTTTCACAATTATCGTGGAGATAAAAGTATTTTGAATAAATAAGTCTTTTGCTATAAATAAATATTTCAAAGTAATAATTAAGTAGACTTGATTGAATTGTAATGAAGATAGGTCTTTTTTAGATCTTCATTGATCGTTTTTTCTGTATTCAGTGGTAGAGAATGGTGTCTTGTACACGATAAGTGTTTCAAAGTGATAAATATTCTAAGAGACGATAATTCAAGATTTGACAATTATCTTGAAGTCAAATCTTTTGAGTCAATATTTATATTTTTCAATAGTTTTCAAGAAATTCGGAAAATTTGATATATTTCTTGTACAATAAATTTCTAAAATAATTATTTGATAGAATCTAAAATTATCATGAAGCTAGTTCTTTTGGTCTCTATTGCTTGCCATTCTTTTTTCAGTAATGGAGAATGTCTCAAACTAAATGATAAATATTCTAAGAGATAATTAAACAATTATCATGGAAGTCTCTATTGCTTGCCATTCTTTTTTCAGTAATGGAGAATGTCTCAAACTAAATGATAAATATTCTAAGAGATGATTAAACAATTATTATGGAAATCTTTTGGATTTTCATTACTTGCCATTCTTTTCTCAGTAATGGAGAATAATGTCTCAAACTAAATGATAAATATTCTAAGAGATAATTAAACAATTATCATGGAAGTCTCTATTGCTTGCCATTCTTTTTTCAGTAATGGAGAATGTCTCAAACTAAATGATAAATAT